AACCACCTTACTGCACATTCTTACGTTGTTGAAAGATATAACGCATCAGCTACCAAAGTCGGACGTAAGGGCCATCTGCGAACGTCTGTTGAGTATCATGACTTTGAACAATGTATTGATAACATCGTGTTGCTTGCAAACGTTGCATGGATTATTCGTCATGAGGCCGTCGGAAGCAACATTACCTTTCTCACGAAACGCAAATATCATTAAAGCCCTTTATGATTATCAACCGTCTGCGAACGACACACAACCGACTTTGGCGTGGTTGGCCGTCATGCAGGAGGCTCACTGCAACCTGGTGGCGCACCTGGCCTTGTCAAGATCGCCTCCCGACGTCTTTTCGACATTCGACTACGTTATACCGGAAACGCTCAACAGGTGCATTGAGCTCTTGCTATCGAACAAGATGGAGATTGTCACTGGTGCGTCACATACTGTCAAAATCATTCTGCAGGAGTGTATAGTGCCTCTTTGCGAGAACGAGGAGCGAATCGGCAAGTATGAACCCATCTTGAGGCGCGTAGTCGAGATAATGCACAAGATTCTGAGCTATCAGTACATCGGAGCTTGGCGTCATGTTCTTCACCTTACAGCCGTGCTCTTCCAAGTTACCAACAAGCTGAAGCTCCAGGAACTCATCAACATTGTCAAGACCCTGGGAAATTTGCGAGAATTTCACGATTTCGAACACAATCGTGACGCGGAGTACGCCATTGGAGCAGCGATTCGGGCTATGGGGCCTCGAGTAGCGTTGGATATCTTCCCTCTTCGAATCGACGAGAATACGATAAATCTCAAACAGAGTTGGATAATTCCGCTATTGAAAGACTGCATAACTGGTGGCACCATCGCCCTCTTCAAGGACATCCTGCTGCCACTTGCTCTGCAGTGCGAGGAGCAAGCTAAAGGATCTCTCGCAGATAGGAAGACATACGAGTTGTTAGTAACGCAGATCTGGTCAATTTTACCGAACCTATGCAATGACGCCAGCGACGTAAAGGATAACTTCAAATTTATCGCCAAGGTGTTGGGTACAGCTATCAGCGACCGGAGAGACCTGAGACCATCTGCGATGATGGCTTTGAGAAAGCTGATCAACAAGGCCACCGAACGAGACAACACTGATGATATCGCTGAACTTGCTCGCTTCGCCAAGAATTATCTACCGATTCTCTTCAATCTGTATACGACAAAGCCAAATGGCACGGACGAGGAGGGAGCGCGTCTCGCCGCGTTCGACACGATCAAGATTTACATGACGATCGTGAACAGCGATTTATCGAACGAGCTGTTTGATCGTGCGCAAAGCAAGCTCAAAGAGCCCGATGCAAACGACTTCTTCAAAGAGAGCGTTTATGATCTGACGAGAGCGTTGATCGGTTATACAGATGTCACTAGGTTGAGCAAGTACTATGATAAATGCGTGCTGGTCCTCAAGGATGATACTAAGCGGAAGGAGCAGAAGAAAGCTTATCGTTTCCTCGAGGAGATATGCAGTAGCGAAAGAGAGGTTTGCAAACAGTTCCTGCATCACCACCGACGTCAGATTCAAAACACGCTGATATCGTCGGCAACCAGCGTGATTAAAACGAGCAGAGGAGTGCGTCTGCGATGTCTGACGCATCTCGTCAGGATACATCCGCAGCTCGAGAAGACCAAGTTCCTCGAGGCCATCGTGCCGGAAGCTGTGCTCTGTGTTAAAGATATCAACGAGAGGTGTCGCGAGGCGGCGTATCAGCTGCTCAATATAATTGCTGAAAGATTTCTCAACAATTCCGAACATCTCAAGGACTACGTGGATATGCTAATGGTAGGCTTGGGCGGTGAGCAAGCGTACGTTAGCGCTAGTCTCCTTGCTCTCGCGTCCATCACTTATCATCACAGCGGTACGTCATCTCTGAGTACGGACATCATCAGCGAGATCTTGGGATACGCTTGCACGATTCTCACGAGCCCCACGAGAGAGGTAGTCGAGTCCGCGTTGTCCTACGTGAAGGTATATATCAACGTGATGCCGTCTGTCGTGATGGCACCAACATTACCGCGGATAGTCAATGCCCTGTCGGGAATGAGCGAAGACTGTAAGCGTCACTTTCGACAAAAAGTACGAGACATCTTTACCAAAGTAATAAGAAAGTACGGTATAGGGCCAATATCGAATATGGTACCAGCCTCGGATGTCATCCTGCACAAGAGACTGAAAAATATCAACAAGATAGAGAATGCGAAGAAGAAGAAACGAGAACTCGAAAGAGCGAGGAAGCTGCAGGAGCGAAATAGCGACGAGGAATTTGACGCCAAGAGGAGACCTAAAAGCGTAGAGGAGATATTGGCTGATAGCGATGAGGAGTTTGAAGTCACGGAAAACGAACTAGAAAAGAAGAGGATAATGCCGAGAAAGGACGCTTGGATTCAGGAGAGTGAAGATAACATAGTCGATCTTGCAGATCCCACAGCTGCTAGAAACATCACAAGTTGGTCACTCAATTTTTTTCTTTGAACTCGTCTTTCTTCGGTCGAAAGAAGAATCAAATTTTTAGAATTTTGTCGATCGAGAGTCGATTTTGAATTTCGACATACAATACATTCTCTCTATTTCCTTCGTCTACAGACAAAACTAGAAAGAAATCAAGAATAAAACTCACATAAAAGTTCCTAACTAACGTTAATATCTTGCTGTAATTAATCTTGTCTTGTTTGCATGCTTTAGCTACACAACCAGGTGTACGGAATCCGAAGATTCCAGTGAGGAAAACAAAGGATCGTGGCTTTGCGACTGCACCCGATGGTCGTCTCATCATTAAGGATGATAATGAGAGGGATAGTGATGCAGAAGAAAAGAATAAGAAGAGAAAGACTCCTTTCCTTCAGAATGATTCAGAAGACGATTACGGTAAATGTTTTGTAATTATTTTGTTTAGACATGGAAAAAAGTTTATGTATGGAGAGATATATATTTCTATTTTCTGCAAAAGTCGAGGATGACGTATCGGTAGTGACCGCAAAGACCGCCGGCAAAAAACGTAAATATAGCGAGAATGCGCTGGATGTAATGAGTTTGAAGAGCCAGTCAACGTCAAAATATCGAGGTAAATTTACAAATTTTTTCATTAAAGAAGTTTTTTTTATTTTGTACAATTAAAAATGTTTAAAGACAATCTATAAGAAATTTAAGACGATATGTTTGACAAATTTGATATATGAGAAATTGAACTCACGATTAAGCGACTTCTGTAATAGCGTTGGTTATATTACAATGATAATAAAAAACATATTCTTGTAATGATTATTGTAATAAATGATGAATGATTTGTTACGTTAGATAATAATATTTTGTATCAACTTTCTGCATGTCTCTTTAATTTCAGCTGGAGGCTCGGGTATTCATCGATCGTTAAAAATGAAAAAGGTAGACAGTGAATTCGGTTCGGAGTATCGTGCGACGAAAGCTAGGGGAGATATTAAGAAAAAGGGTAAACCAGATCCCTACGCATATGTACCCTTGACGAGGTCTATATTGAATAAAAGGTCAATAATAAATATTTTAATCCATCTGTTGTATGTATATGTTACATTCTTCATTTATTGATATATTAATAAATTGAACATTTGCATCTTACAGAAAGAAGAAGAAAAACGCAGGAAAATTCCAGAGCATTGTTTCTGGAGCGAGGAAGGGCGCCCGCACAGGTATGCGGAATAAACGAAGGAAGCGTTAAACACGGATAATAGTCCTAATTATTAATCATATTATTTAACTATATATATATCCTAATTATATATTATGTAATTAAGCATTATTTTCAAATATATTTGAATATAATTACGCCCAATGGCTTTATTTAGATATATGTGAACATATTGAAAGGGTTAACATACCTTTAATCATAATCCTTTGCCGTTTGCTCCAATTATACACAAAGGACACAAAATTTCGGGTTCAGGTGTGCGAGATAACATTTCCTAAATACTGCAATGTATATGGAAGAATCAAAGATTGAGATGTTAGTAATTCTGTTTCCAACGACGGGATATGTCTGCTTCGTATTGAGAGATTGGAAAGTGATGTCCGCAAGTAAATATCATATTATCTTCTTCCGTTATAAGCAAGAGATTTACAGCATCCGAGTTCTGTTTTAATTTAATGTTAAAAAGTTAAGTAAAATACGATGCAAATTTAATCCAACTATTGAATTATATAATTAGTGTAATATAATTAGTGTAAGTTTGTTATTTTCAAAATAACAATTATATGTGTAAAGAATTATAATTTCATGTAAAATTACAGTATTCCAAACTTTTGAGAGATAGTATGTATGTTAGATTGCAGAACTAGCAATAATGATAAAGTACATAAAGATAGACAGCATATGAAATTCATAGTTAATTTAATAGAAATCTGTATATACATATAGACATATAGACTCTAGTATTATAATTCCATGTACTATAAGATATACGATCATTCGTAAATATTTACGATTTTTCGTAAATCTTACGGCTAGCAAGAAGCTATCTATAATAATATTACAGTTATAAGAACTTATAAATTCTTAGATTTCGAGAACATGTTATGAGCCTTACGATTCTGCTTAGAGAATTGATCCATAGATATCTATATATATTTTATTTTATCAAAAAACTAAAATAGTATATTTCTTTTTGAAACGCAAGTTCTCTTAAATGTGGAATGCATCCTTTGTTAGACCAATCGCGCTGTCTTCGTGTTAGTTACAAATTTGCTGGAAAAAAAAGCATTATATAAATTACTTTAAATAATCCAATTATTTGTCACGAAATTATGATACTACAAGATTATATTCATTACTATAGAAAGTTCTAATTTTCACCAATTCTCACATAATGACTTAATTAAATAAAAGAAATATAAAAAGATTTTTTTTAATCTTTTGTTTCATCTTGCCTTTTTCTTTCTTTCTTTCTAAATAAATGAAAAAATTCTAAAATTAATAATTAGTGGTGTACAATAAATTTTATCGCATAAACGTTGTAGCTAAATCAATTTCAGACTTTCAAATTAATGTGCATATTTTCTCATTTGATTCTATACTTTTTGTACCATGGTTATTCGCGAGCGCCCGATCTCTCTCGTCCCATATGGTGAGGCCGTCGCATGCGCAGATTTTCTTCGTATTTTGAAACAATCTGGATGATCTGGCTACAATTCCGCAAGCTAATCTATGAAGAAAAATTTAATGTAAAATAATAAACAATTATCACAAACTTTGACAATAGGAATCATTCCGTACCTAGCTCCGCTATTTCCATTTATCTTGGACTCTGGATTATTACCTCTTCCAAGATCATCTGGATCCTTAGTAATAATAAGAGATCTGCCAATGATGTCGGGTATCTTAAGAAATTTGTCTATCTTCCGAAAAGCAGCTCTGCCAGAAGTGTCAGCTAAGACATTGCCAAGATCACCGACATGCTGTAATGGCAAATAGAATTGTTAAAATACCATAAAATTTAACGTTTATTGTGCAAACGGAGGTAATTTTTGTCCAGACGATTATGAATATTTTGAAAACAAGTGGATATGAGCGTGTCCAATAAAATATTTAAATAAATAATTATCTTCATTTAGAATAGTTAAGGAAACTACATGAACATTTTAATATATTTTTTTTAACCATTTAATCCATTAAAAAAAACATACTAAACATTAACGACCCATGGTTACACTAAATAAATATTACAAAAACATAGCAAGTGTTAAGAAATTTGACCGTTTATATTTACCCTCTTGGATAAATCATCTTCAGGGCTACCGTGTGGTGAATTATTTGGATTAAAGTGTACGCCTACACTGTAATCAAAATAAAATTTATTCAAAGTGTCAATCTAAGTATTTGCTTCTGCAAGTTTTTTTACCTTTCACAGCCATTAGATATATTACCGCATTCATGTACATGCATACCGTGTTCACCAGGAGTCAAACCATCAATTGTACCATCTATGATACATCCCTCTGAAGTTTCTGCAAATCTTATAACCCCTCTGATCAGATTACCTATGCTGTATCCTGAATTTCCACCCAACATCACTACAGCACTTGATCCATCTGTAAAAGATAAATATCTAATTTTAATAATTACAAGTGTATCTTAATTTCTGAGATCCACACATATACATCATGCACACACATATGTGTGTGCTATATATATATATGTCTATATATATATATTGAATGCTTTGTTATTGTCATTTTAAAGAATGAGAGTCCCTTCTAAGCTTATATATATGTATATTTTTAAATATATAACAATTTTCTTTATTTCATTCATAGTTTCTAAAGACATACATTTTTAGAACTGTTAGGAAAAGAAAAAGAATATTATATTGAAAAATGACTTGGTTTGAAAATTGGTTTTTATATTTTATATTTTACGTATTGAATATATATATATGTATATGCATACATTTAATATATAGAATATAAAAATATTCAGAACAAGTTTTCAAATCAAGTCTTTTTCAATATTCCTCTTCTATTTCTGATAATTCTAAAAACATACTTATGCCTTCAGAAATTGTGAATCAAACAGAAAAGATTGTTACAACATATATCAAAAGATAATACATTATATATAACATAGAAAAAATTATTTAAACCTCCGTATCCCTTCAATACTGCCTGCCTTCCTGTTCTTTCGATTCTTTCCTGTATAATGGAGTAAGGTAGGTTTGTTTCAAGGATGACAGTGCCACGTTCTAACGATATATCAACATTCCGGATATCCTTCAGATCTGCTATACTCTTGGAAATTGCATTAACGCATTTCTCGCATGTCATATGTACCGCGAATTCGATCTGCAGAAACAACATATTATAGATTCGACAATATTTTTTTTATTTTTCACTGTCAACAATGAGATAAAAGTTAATTATACTTACTTTCGTTGAAGCCATTTGTACGTAGTACTCTTATAGTCTTATATCAACGTTGATCAACGTGATAAACAATGATAAAGCAAATTTTTTATACGATTACATCGGTCGTCGTATTTCGTATTCAGTCTATCTTTTATCTTTTTTTTTTTAATTTGTTACTAATAATCTAGCCAATTTTCTAGCAGCAGGATCTTCAACAGTTTGTTATTTGACATGTCAAGATCTGTTTGCGTTATTTTAAATTCTTAAAAATTTTTGCACAATGAGATAAACAAATATATCATATGATCAAAATTGACAAATATCAAGTGTCAACTTTGACCACTTGAGGCCTGTTCTTTTTAGCTGAATTTTTGCACCAGTTCATCTTTCTTCCTCTTCTCTTCAGGAGGAAAGAAGAAGAAAAAAGATGAACTGGCGCAAAAGTTTAGCCAAAAAGAACCTTCTGCGGGGTCTACAATAGCAGTTGTAGGGTTTTAAGTCGTAGAAAATTGACCAATCACAGTCGAATATGAGAAGAATAATCAACTATGATTGATCATAAAACGGCTGGCTTGAACGGCTCGTGGAAATGTATCTTAATACGGGGTCTACAATAAAAGTCGTAGCAGTCGTAGGGTCTTAAGTCGTAGAAAATTGATCAATCA